TGGCGAACTTCGAAAAAATGACGATTTTACTAAAAAAACGATTATTTTATATAATTGATCATGTTAAATTTTTTTCGTGTATTTTTTCGTGTATTTTTTTGAAAAGTTCATTCAAAAACAAAAATTAAAAAAAAAGGTACCCAAAAGTCAATTTCTAAAAAAGTTATGGCTATTTGAAAATAAAAAAGCCATTTTTTTTTTAAATTCATAACTTTTTTGAGGTTGGACAAAAAAATTTGAAAAAATTTTCAAAAATGTTTTTCAAAGGGTAGAAAAGGATGGAAAAGTTTCAGCAAAATCTAAAGGGGTCGGGTTCAAAAGTGGTCGATTTGGTATGGAATACCCCATATATAAACTTAGGTAATCCTTTGCTTTGGTGTGACACTACAAGTTGTTCGATACTAAAGAGACCTTAAATAGGTGGAAACAGCTGTCAATATTTGAAGTATTTTAAGTTGATGGAACGCACTAAAAACATTATCTCTAGCGAGTTGAAGGTTAAATTTTCTGGAATAATACCACTGGTAATATACTAGTAATGCGTCAAAGAACTTCCTGTTTACTTTTTCCTTTTTTCTGTGTAGTATGATTTAATTTAAAACACATAATATTTAACACTGAAAAGAAGTTCAATTTAAACCAGGTAAAATTTATTTTAAAACTGTGTGAAAGTTAAATTTACACTATTTTAGTATTTGAATTTACACTGGACCAACGAACCATTTTGGTTTGTATCGATATAGACCATGTATGGTATTAATTTGGTGTAAAAATGGTCATGAAATTTTGAACAGTGTAGTACCACATCTCACCAAATCTCACCAAGGGGGAGGGGGAGTCCAAATTATCATAAAATACCTCGCGTAATTAATGGATATTCCACTTTCTTTAATATAAATACTCAATGTGTATTACCCTGGGTAATTTACCTATAAATGTTTTTACTATAAAACAATAATGCAAAAGTTAGTTTTTATTGACAATCATTTTTATTGTAATTATAGTCCGGTCAAATTAGACCAAAAAATAACAGTGAAGGTACATAAATTTACAACAAGCTGAAAATCAGTAAAATTGTTCAGAATATAATTATAAATAAAATTTTAAAGTTCCCCATCATTCCCCTGTATGGAAATTTTTTTATTCAAGTTCAAGGTCAAAAAATTAGTTTTTCGCGATTTTTATCAAAACGGTAAGTTTTATCATAAAAATACCCCAAACAAAATTGTAGATCATAAAATTATCTATAAAAAATTTATTGATACTTTTTTTCCTACGAGCCACCGTTTCTGAGATATAACGATTCGAAAAGTTGTAAAAGTTGTAATCGTCATAATATGCACGCCACGTATCTCTAGAGTTGTAATATATGTTAAAATATTTTTCTATAGGTCATTTTAACTTACACTTAAAATCTGTCACCTGTCATCTGTCACCTGTCATCTGTCACCTGTCATCTGTCACCTGTCATCTGTCATCTGTCACCTGTCATCTGTCACCTGTCATCTGTCACCTGTCATCTGTCACCTGTCATCTGTCATTTGTCCCTGTCATATGCCACCTGTCATTTGCCACCTTATCGATTTGATTTCGAGGATTTTAATTGGTTAACTTTTTTAAATACCCAACAAAAATTAAACGGGCTTCTGGCCGATTAGTTTTTATTCGAACGAGCCGAGATTTTTCGTCCAAACTCGAGGAAAAGGGTCTTCGGGACAAGAAGTTATCGGCATTCAATTTCTTCTTTCTATATACGAAGCTCCTAAAAAAACTACCTGCTTTGATAAGTATCGATATGCATGTTTCGTTAAAAATTCTAAAAGTAAAAAACAAGTTCAATTAGCTTGTCTTCCTCCAACCTCAGTTGCTGCTCATCAACATCTTTTTCGGGTATATTACCATGTTCAATTGTGGCTTGGTTATCAGCTAGACCCTACAGACTAGGGTTGGAAGTTGGTCAACAACACATTAGAACCAGTTCAAACTTTACTCCCACCTGTGCCGGAAAAACTGTTGAACACAATTTTTTGCAACTGCAAAAAGGGATGCAGTGCTAAATGTGGTTGTAAAAAAGTCGGACTGTTTTATTCTCTGGCATGTACGAATTGTCAAGGCCGGTCGTGCTCTAATGTTGAATCACCAACAGTGGAGGATTCATTTACTTCCAACGAGGTGAGATGCGATACATCGCTATTGACGCAATTTACTTGAACCCAGGATGAAGATGAAGAAGAAGAAGTTCAAGAAGAACAAGAAAAAGAATTTAAATGATACGAATCAGACGAATAAACTTCAGTACTTTTTTTAAATTTACATCGCTATTATCTTTTCCAATCATTGCTAATTTCCGTTATTTTGCAATAGTTTCAAATTAAACAGGATCACAAGTGACCCGTAAAATAGGTCTACTGGGAAAACCACGTTTAAAAACGCGCTTAGTAAACTACCTCATAGGTGGCGTGGAAACGTGTGCATATTATGGCGATTATAACTTTTAAAACTTTTCGAATCGTTATATCTCAGAAACGGTGGCTCGTAGAAAAAAAGTATTGATACATTTTTTATAGATTATTTTATGATCTACAATTTTTGTCTGGTGTATTTTTATGATAAAACTTACCGTTTTGCTGAAAATCGCGAAAAATCATTTTTTTGACCTTTGACCTTGAATAAAAATTTTTCCATACAGGGGAATGATGGGGAACTTTAAAATTTTATTAATAATTATATTCTGAACAATTTTACTGATTTTCAGCTTGTTGTAAATTTATGTACCTTCAAATGTCTAGATTGACCGGACTATTAACAAAAAAATTGACTTTTGTCCTTTATTGCTTGATATGGGGATACTGCATTTTAGCCTTGTAGAGCAGAATAGAAAATCAAATAAAATATTAGTTTTTATTTCGTTTTGCAAAATTTGCACACAATACATTTTATTTGGTTCTAAAATTTATCATTGTTTCCATCATTTTCAATTAACGCTATCCAAGCTAAATTTGTATAACCAAATAAACTTTGTACGAAGTTAATTTTCAATGTTATACTATCATAATTTAAATGTGTAGCGATGGCCTACAATTGAGCGAAGCACAAAAAAACACCGAATGTTTTGTCTTCAGGAGTTCTATACAAGGTGTTAATTATTAAAATATTAAAATATTTCACATAAGGTGTAACGGAAAAATATTTAAAAAAATACTTTCCCAAAGTTAAAGAAAAAAAATATGCATTAGAATATTTAATATTTTTATCTCTGCACACTTGTGTTCTGTGAGTACACAGATACCAACAAAGAAAGTAGCTGCGCGTTTCCAGTTGTAAAAAATGATTATGTTGAATCGATTTTAACTGTCAAACCAATTACTGTGATACCAACTATCTAAAGTAAAATTCGACAAAATAAAATTTAAGGTATAAAATTATTTTTTTTTGTATTTTTTCAAAATAGATAAAATAGCATAAAGAACTCATGTCATAAGACCTTTTGTCGCACTCGTCCATTACAAAACTCGCTCCATCGTCGCTCGTTTTATAAATTGTCCACGTGCGACAAGATGACGTCTTATCACATTAGTTCTTTAATACACTCACAGGCAAAATAATCGATCCACACAAATTTTCGATGAATTTCAATCGCAAATAACTTTTTTATTTGATTTCGGGTTTAAGCAAATATTAAAGAATATTATAGATAAATTAATGGGGAATCGCTCACATTTTTAAAATTACTAAAAAAGTAGAAGTACGTTTATAATATACAGGTTTAAACAAAAATATGTTTTTTACCATAAGTTTAAGACACTCTGTAGAGTGGCACCACCGTATATTGTTCTAAATTAAGTTTTAATTATCAAGTCACATCTATTTTTAACAGTTTTGTTTTTGGTTCACCTTGATATATTTATTTTTGTGGAAAATATGGATAAAAAAAACATTGCAATTTCCAATATTTTTTCTGAACGGAGAACTAAGGTTCCTATGGTCCATCCATAGCCTAAGGAATCATATGATATGGGATATCCCATACTTGGACATGTCATATACGGCTTTCAAAAGCTATCAAATTGTTTTTTGTAAATTAATGTGTTAATTTTGAGGTGTCTTCTTACTTTTAAAAATGGATACGTCTCCAACTAAAATTGCCCTTTGTACTTTACTTCTTGTGACGTTTAGAACACTTGCCACGTAATACTGTGACCGTCTATCCTGAATTAAATCAATGGCTATAGCAACATCATTTGGAGACATATCCATTTTTAAAAGTTAGAAGACACCTCAAATGTTAAACATTAATTTGCAAAAAACAATTTGATAACCTTTTAAAGCCGTACATGACATGTCCAAGTATGGGATGATTCAACAAAACTGTCACTATTGGAAATTGCAATGTTTAATAATTATAACTTAATTTAGAACAATATACGGTTTAGCCACCCTACAGAGTGTCTTAAACTTATGGTAAAAAACTTCTTTTTGTTTAAACCTGTATATTATAAACGTACATTATTTATTAGAAATTTTTTAAAATGTGAACGATTCTCCATAAATTTATCTAAAATATTCTTTAATATTCTTTAAATCTGACATCAAATTAAAAAAAATGTTGCCATTAAAATTCATAGAAAATTTGTGGATCGATTATTTTGCCTGTGAGTGTATAATATTAGTCTTTACAATTTAGAAAATAGTTTCAGGTGCTTCTTTATGGACCCTAAGGAACTACCCATTTTAAAATATTACATTAATTACACCCTGTAATTTAAACTTTATTATTGTCAACATTCACTACTAAAGTTGCCTAGGCTATAAAAATAATTTAGACCAATCGGGTAAACTTTTTAACCACCAAAAACAAATAAATCCACCAATTAAGTTTTTTAATACTATAGTATTAAAAAACTTAATTGGTGGATTTATTTGTTTTTTTCTGATCGTTTCTTAGTTAGGTATATTTAAATATTATATTATAAAAATTTAATATTTTGTTATTATTTTAGATACTGAATTTAGGATAACAATATCGCCTGAGGGCAGGAACGCTTCGAGTCCGACGGTGCACTGCGGTCCAGATTTATCGAGAACGCCTCGGAAAAATGCCAGCAAAAGGACTGTAATCCTTCGAGCTCCCACCACCGAATTGAAAGCCGTGTGGCAAAATCTTCTTCAACGTCAAATGTAAGTATTTTTATTTATCTTTCTTTTTACTTAGTTCTTTTTCTCTTACGAATTAATCACTTAAACTTATTCCAACACTACTTTATGGATTACAACTATTTAAGATAGTATTATCTAGCTGATTTAACATTAGACGGTAAAATAGTCTAAATATGCTATATTTTATAGGTACCTACATTGAATGCATGGTTTTAGAAAAAAGATTAGTACACATAGGTTGCAAATACACAACAAATAATAATTAGGTTAAGAAAATATATAAGATATCAATAATAATGAATAATTTTTCTGTGTAACAAAATATGTAAAGTTAATTTTTCAATTTAAATTAAATTGTCTTGACCTATTTTTGAATGAAGTATGACTAAAGAGCTATTAAAGGTTTGATAAAATATTTATTAGCTATTTCATGAAACGATTGGGAAATAGAAAAATGGGAACGAAGACGTCCGAATATCAACGGTTAGATCCAGGGCCGGGATTCCCCTGCGCAAACGCTCACCGACGCACCACTATACCTAAATTCATGACTGCATTAGAGCCAGTGTTTTTTAATAAAAAAATTATTAAATTTTTTTGACAAAACCAGGAAGCCACTGGATGTCACTGACCTATTCTATATATATTACACTAGTTTACAGCCATTTTTCCCACCATGTCTCACTATGATTTTCTTGTTTAGTTTTGCTCACTAAACTCGAAAATCACACTTAAATTTTTTTTTCATGGAAGCGTTTTCGAAATATGAATTTTCAATTGTTTTTTTTTCAATTTTCTGAAGTGTTTTGACGTTTAAGAGTTCTAATTGGTCGATTTGACCAAATAAGCACTTAAATCATAGGTAATACAACTTTCTTTTGTATAGTTTTGGTATCAGCTCAGTAGTTCGATACTGGCGATTTTATGAAGTTGAAAAAGTCCTTTTTTACAAAAATCGGGGTCGAAAATTTACATTTCATTCTGGGAAAGATAGAAATCGAAAAGATAAGTCCAGTTTGATTTATTTTACGTATAGATTATACTTAAAGGAAAAAAATAAGCTGCTGTTGATAAAAATCCATGAATAAATGGCGAAGTTATGAATTTTTCAGTGGAAGACAAAATTCAGTTTTTCGAGAATTTTTACGATTCTTCTTCTTAATATTGAACATTGATTTTTGTTTTAAACATTAAATATTGAAATTAAATTATATATTGAATATTCAACAATAAATATTGAACATTGAAGATATTGAAAGTTTTATTTTGTTTTAAGCATAGGTTTAAAAAAAAATCTGGCTCCTTTGTTTTTTCTTGCTTTCGTATTCCGTTTCTCGTATGAGGGACCAAATGTAATCACCCATCATGGCTGCATCCCAGAAGCTGTGATACCGCCGCTCCATAGCCTTAATTTGCTGGTGAAAACTTTCTCCGTGCTCATCACTTACGTCACCCAGATTGTCCGGGTTATTTACGCACTCGAACTCTCTACTTCTTTTACTCATTTTACACTTTTTATTAACTAAATAAAACCATGATAAAAATACCTTGTTGAAATATCAAAAAATAGCAGTGAAATGTCACTATGCCAACCAGAGAAACAAAAGAATTCACCTTTGCGGAGCCATATCAAATTTAAATTTTGAATAATATTTTCGGTGAAAAAAGTACGTATAAAACTTAAAAAATTCCAATCATGCACTTTACTTAGGTTTTCATTAAAGAATAAACATATTACAAAATAAAAGAACAAAATAAAATAAAAATCGTCAAAATGCTGAATTTTGGTCTTCCACTAAAAAATTCATAACTTCGCCATTTTTCCATGTATTTTTATCAACATTAGCTTAATTTTTTTGTAAAAATATCAGCTTCACAAAAAAAATTTAAACATTGAGTTATCTGTTTGATTTAAACCGTTCCCAGGACGATATGTAAATTTTCGACCTCAATTTTTGCTTTAAGTTATCAAAAGTTTGTAAAAGAAAGTTTTAGAGGGCTCAAATACCTTCAATTTAAGGGCTTGTTTGACAAAATCGATTAATTAGATTTTAAGCTATACTCAAAAACGTCAAAACACCTCCGAAAATTAAAATAAAAACAATTGAAAATTTATATTTCAAAAACGCTTCCATAAAAAAAATTGAGTGTAATTTTCGTGTGTATGCAGAATTTTTTCGTGTGTGGGCAGAATTTTTTTTCGATTTTGTAAACTAGTGTTATCATTGTTTTTACCTCTAAAAAGAATGATATTATTCATCCAAACAAAAAAGAAACAGGTATGCGCACAGTTTGGTTGTTATTGTGGTTTTTCTGGGGCTACATGAACAGTTTAGTGTTTCAGAGCGAAGTTGACACATTAGAAAAACTTCAGGAACTTGTCACTGCAGCGGCAGATGAAATCCGAAATCATCTGGATATGATAGTTGATAGTTGAAAATTTATTATGAAAAAAAAATCAATCGACGTAAAAATTGAAAGGAGAAATTTAAAATGGACAGAAAACCACGGAAACCTCGAGATACCTAACAATGAAAAGTTAGTTATATTGTTTTATTCAAAGTACCTAAAAATAGCTGGGTATGTAAAATAAAAAACAATTGTCAACACAGTAATCAATGATAACACAGTAAATGTTTAATGAATGCAGATTATTGTGTGCAAGCATTAAGAATCGAAATATTGTTTTTGAGCTCTGGAAGTTCGGAAAAACAGCGTTCAATTCTCTACAAAAATATTTCAAAATTTTTTAAATGAGTCGGGCAGACTCGCCAAATAAGTTAAAAAAACACAAAAATTTCGTATAATTTGAACTTTGACCTTAAATTTGTTTAGAAGGATCAAATTTATCAAAAAATCATAAAAAACCTTTTTTGTAAAGCGTTCAATTTTCTACAAAAATATGTCAAGAACTTTATAGTACGACTTATTGTTCGTTAGTTACAAAAATAAAAAGAAACAAAAATAATTTTTCCTATGTTATTCTTATGGAAAATCGAAAAGTGCGATGCGGAGCATCTTAATTTTGAAATTAAGAGCTCATTTTTTCACAGGCTTATTTTTATATCTATACGAAACTTTTGAGCGTGGTTCCGAGAAAAAAAGCAAAAAAAAGGTTTTTTTGAAACACCCTAGCAAGCATATTTTGCATCAGTTGTCATAGGTCAGGAACAATCAGTGCGACCCAAAATTTCTACTTTACTTATAAAAAGTTTAATAATTTTTTAATTGAAAAAATGGCACTTATGCGAAAATTAGAGGAAAAACTTTCTTATTTTGGCGTGTCCTATCATCCCCTTAAAGGATGACAACTTATTTTGTGATACCCTGTATACTTGTTTAAATATTACCATTATTCATGGTGATTGTTGAAATTCTTAAACAAGTAGAAGTATATAAACATCTAGAATTAGAGGTGAGTCGGTAAACGTTTGCGCAGAAAAGTCACGGCCCGGATAGGAGTATTTCAAAAGTGATGATTATCGCAAATAATTGACACTCTATTTTTAATAATTGAGTATGGTTTAATCACAATCCACTTAACAGGTCTCGTACTAATAATACTAAAAATCACTGCAACATTGCACAGAGTTTAACAGCGGCCATTTTTGTTGTTTACAATTCTTGTGCTTTGGGTTCGTGCTCTGTTTATACAAATTAATAATAGTTTTGAACGTTGTTTCTTTCAGAGGAACTTAAAGTGCTAAGCACAACCATATAGTCCGGGAGGCAGTGAAGATTTTTATCTTCTTATTTTCCCAGTTTGTGAATGTCATTAAGTTTGTTCAAATGGTGACACAAAAGGACAATTTGTGTGTCTGGCTAAAATTTTCGGATGGGTTCACTAGATGAGCCAAAAAGTCAAGTCCACTTATTTTCCCAGTCATAAATATTTCACATTAATTAAAGTGAGTCATTTTATTAATGGAAATAACAGTCTGGCACATACCAAGTGAAGGAAAGTCAGTCTGGCTGAAAATTTGCGGAAGCAAAAATTTGACCGGTTTTTGAAATACGTAGCCCTTATTTTCCCATGCTTAAAATTTAACCCATTATTTGGTACTGTCATAAACTATAATCAAAATTAAGTCTGGCTGATTTATGAAATTGGCAAATTGTTCTGGCGGCATCTTGAAAATCGTAAGAATTACAAAAAGTTTGCTCTTATTTTCCCGGATTTGAAAATTTGTCACATGATAAATAATACTATAATTTCGTAGAAAATACACGTCTGGCTGTTATTTACAATCACGAAAGCCCCGCCAGACTCACAAGTCAGATAGCAGAAACTCGCGTTTGAATGGGAATTTTCGCGATTTTCTTTTTTTTTATTGATATAACTCAAAAACTAAGACTGACATTTTTTTTAGCCATATTTAAATTTTGCTTTACACAAATTATTTTCTTATCATACATTATGAAAAGTAAAAACATGTAGAGATGACAACAATCGCCTGTATAATTGAACATGCCGAATTTAGCGCGCCTGTGGAGGGTTGGACGCGTCTGGCAAGGCTTTCGGAGTGTTCCACATTAGCCAGACTATATTTGCAGCTGTAATTATAATATAAACTATCATCTCACAAAATTTTTTAGACTGCGAAAATAAGGGCAATGGTTTTGATAATTTTTCCTCCTGCCAGACATATTACCCATACTCACAGATTAGCCAGACTATTTTTTTTCTTAAGTTCACTATATCTCTCAATAATGGAATTATTTTTATCACTGGAAAAAAAAGTGCAATATATTTGTACTTTATAACGCATTTTCCGCCTTAACCCATCGGAAAACCCCCCCTAAATATATATAAATTTTGCTCAGAATAACAAACCCAATAATTGTATCGGTGTTTGCCGACTGGGAAAATAAGTACCGAAAATCTTCACTGCCTCCCGGACTAATATAGAATAAGGTTTATATTTTACAAAAGAGGAGTATAATATTATACTCCTCTTTTGTAAAATATAAACCTTATTCTATCAGGGCTGTCATTAAACTATCAAATTTTAAGTTTAATT